TAATCTGCAGGTACAGTCTAGTTTAGAAATTTAGGGAAGGTGAACAAGGGGGAAGTCAGTTTTTCAGATTGTCCCACAAGAGGAGTGTGTGTGTTGGGAGGTGAAGTGGTAGGCGGTGCAGGGAATGGGTGGGGAGGGGCTACTCTAACTGGCTGCCTCACCCATGGGATCATCCAGTATCCTTTCTCATGAATCACGTACAAACAGAATCATTCAGTGCTTAACTTACATATGCCCCAAAGGTGAGTAACACCAGAAGCGTTAGTCATTAATATACATTTTAGGTTTTTGTCACAAGAGAATGAGTAGCCAAAATTTAGACGTTAAATCTGACCTTTCCTTTTAGCAAGTAGCAGGAACTTTAGATGAATTCTCCTATCACTTACACAGTCCGAGGAATGACATATTAAACCAGGGTTCTGATTTGCTCCTTACGAGCAACTACAATCTCTTGAACATTAACTTACATATACTAATGTATTCTACTGGTAAAGTGTGGAACTTTCTCATCAGTGCTGAAACAGCTAAGGGGACGTGAGTAAGGAGAAGGCTTGTCCCGCAGTTTGCAGGGAAGGAGAGCTATGCATGGGAGTTAGGGCGCCTCTTCCTGCTTCTCTCACAGGGCTTCTCTCTTTCTGCACTCCCACCTTAAAGCTTTTCCATGGATTGGGATAACGGTGGAGAGACTGAAAATAACAAAACACAAATTCTATTCTGCTTTCTATCCCCTAAGTATTAAACCAGGAGAAAGCCCTTAAAAAGTAGTACCTCAGTTTCAAAACATGCAACCACAGTACTGGAAATATTGGGGGAACACATTATAAAGTAACCACTATGCAGTACACCTGAAGCGAATACAAAATAATACTGAAAGTAAACAGTAATTGAAATATACAAATAAAAATAAAAATAAAAATAAATCTTGAGATTTATAGATTAAAAAATGCATCAATACATGTCCATTTGCTCACATATACTTAGTCATTGCCTGCCAAATCCTTTATAAGAACCACCTGTCAGTTCCAAAACCCACTATGCATCGTCACCTCCTGAAAGGAAATTTCTGTTTATGAGATTTTATTTTCTGTAGATTTACATTCAAAGAGCGCAGATTTAATAGGATTTTCTAGCAGTTTTTACTTTGCTGAACAGGAATTCATCTGAAATTCCAAACTTAAGATACAAATAACTTAAGCTGGTAGACCCCCAAGCTCCTGGGATTTGAAGCCTCTGCCCTCATCTTTCACTCCCTCCCTTAGCCCTGCCACTAGACCAGGAGGAGCCCTTGGCTCTTATCTCACATGTCACCACGTTGCCATCTATTACAGCTGGGTAATGACTTGTGTTGTTCAACTGTTGCTTCCATGTGTGCTAGTAAAATCCAGTGAGCAACTTAATCACTGGGGAAATACATAGACAATTAGGGACTCAGTACTAGCATAAGCTATAAATTTGGCCAATAACTGGCACTCATTGGCGAGTGGGCAGGTGACTCCTGCTCCCAGAACAACTTGAGGGAGTTTCCTTTGTTAAGCAGGGTCAGTCTGTGCTATTTATTTTCTAACGTCCAAGTGTCTGATCATAAGGGAGAATACATGCAAAGAGGCCAGAAAATTCAAATAATGAGAAGGGGAAAACTGTCTTGAATGTAACATCAGAAGCATTAAGGTAGCTTAAAATCTTCAGCCAAATTGTTGAACTGAGTCTACTGGCTAAAACTTAAGGGATTGCTATTTATAAAAATGAAAACAGAAAGAGAGATAAGAAGATAGTAAATATTTTTGTGCCAGAATTCTTTCAGCATCTTTATTGTAAGTGTTACTAGTGTGTTGTGTACTGTATTATTTTTATTTCTTTGTGTATTGTATTTTTTTATTGTTCAAAATATTACAGATGTCCCTTTTTCTCCCCATTGTGTATACTGTATTATTTTAAGATTGTATATACTTAAATTATAAATACTCCTTTATGATGTTTATTAAATTCTTAACTTTGTTTTTCTTTTTGGAGAGGAAGATGTCTGTGTCTTATGTTTTTAAAATAAAAACTAATAAGAAAAATCAAATTCACTGAAGAGAAATTTGGAGAAAGAAATCTGCCTTTAGGGAGGATATTTATATTATTACTGAGATCTATAACTCTTTAGCTACTCGTTTTAGTTCCTCTCCCCTGCAAAATTTATAAACTGAAATGCATGTTTCTATAGCTGTTCTATATGAGAGAAAGACCTGCTTTTATAGAGAACTTTACTTTAGGAGTGAGGAGAGACATGAAGTGGGGAGAAATGGCTGAGCTGATGTGAAACAATAAGACAAAGCAGCCAGACAGAGGCCAAAATGGTGCTGGACAACGGGCAGCTGGCAAGCTGGGCCGGTTATGTTGGGTCACCGGCTACCACTGATACGCTCTGTCACAAAGCAATAGCACTTTTTTCCCTACGTGTGTTCCCTTCCCTTACCCATTTATTTGCAAGAACTGTTCAGATCCAGAAAACATGGCTGAAATGTACTCAGAAGTCAAGGTTAGATGGGATGGAGGTGCCCTTCAGTACTAATAGCCTAGATGTAGACAGATCAAAAGCTAAATCCAATTTAACCCACCCCAGGCAGGAAAGGTAATTGAATTAAACCTCCTCTAAATATGATAAGTTTGGGGGGTTTAAAGCCAGGCACAAAGAGCCAGGTTAGACTAAATGGATGCAGGGAGCTCTAGCTGCCCCGCCCACAGGGAGTTGGATGAGCTGGGGCTTTGCCTCTATCACTTTACTACTGAGGCTGAAAGCTGATTAAGCTGCTTATGGGGCTTCGGGGGCCAATGGTCTGGCCCACCAAGATTTAAGTAAGCTGCTTGGCATGGATGGTGTGATTATAGCAAGGAAAAGAAAAGGGGGGAAAAAGACAGCGGGGTATAGGAAAGCTTTTTAAAAAGCAGATTTTGTTGTGTCAAATAGATATGCTACTTTGACACTCTAAAATGAACATGGATTACTTTCTCTCATCTGGTATCAACACTCATTTATAAAAAGCTTCCTCAAAGAGAACTCACTATGAATTCCACCCATTTTATTTTCAACCTCCTTTACGATAATACATTGGTGCCTTTAAACACACTTCTCAAGTGATAGTCTGGTCCTCAGATACTATGATCAGGTAGAGTCCTAGAAAATAGATAAATGCATCATGGGTGTTTTCATCAATGCTTTCCCTTGAACACCACTGGGCAATCATAATTAAAAATAGATCCCTGCCCTGTCTGGTATGGCTCGGTTGCAGGTTCAATTCCTGGTGAGGGCAATATCGAGATTTCAGGTTCGATTCCCCATCAGAGCACATGCAGGAGGCAACCGATCAAGGTTTCTCTCTCACATTGATGTTTCTCTCTCTCCCTCTTTCTCTAAAATCATTAAAAACATATCCTTGGGTGAGAATTTAAAAAATAATAATAAATAAATAAAGATAAAAATAGATCCCCTTCCACCTAGGCCAGCAAATCGTTGCAGCTTGATCATGTAGTGATGGGCAGGCAGGACCAAAGGAGGGGAGGGAGCTGATATTCAGAAAGAGGTTTAAACTCGATGCACAAGTGGAAATTAAAACTAGTATTCCCTCAGATCTCTCCAGCTAAATGCTCTAAAACTATTTTTACCATTTAAAACAAATTTCCTGCCTCTAACAGACAAAAGTCTTAAGTTTGAACTACTTTTAAGATTTTTTTTTTTTCAGTCTTGAAAAATGACTGATGGATCTGTACAGTTTCCTAACTGACCTCATTTCTTCTGGGCAAAACAACAAACAAAGGAACAAAATCACAGCAGTTGGAGATGTTCTGGAAGTTGTCATAATTATTATTTTTTTAAATTAACTCTTGAAAGAATCAATAGATATGCCTTCATTTAGTGTCTTCTTAGGGAAGGAGTTGCTGATTTAAATGATTAACCAAAGCTTAACATACTCAGAACTTTGGGTTGAACAGACAAATGTCAGTTTTCTTCCTGGCTGCTAACCTGTCAATCATTAAATGGCCAAACACTAATAATAAAAGTATAAAAAGATGATTTTGACTCTTATGTGCTTTGTGATGTTTTATTAAAATTTAAAGTCATCCAACTGTTTGGCTTGAGCACAAAGGACTGAATATTCGCTGTTTTTATATCTTTTTTCCTTTTACAGTTTTTTTACTGAGATATAATTCACATACCATAAGACTTACTCTTTTACAGTATACAATTCAGCGGTCTTTAGCATATTCACAGTTGTGCAACCATCACCACTATGTAATTCTAGAACATTTTCAACATTCCCAAAGGAAACCCCAGACCATTAGCAGTCACTCGTCATTCCCCTATTCTTCCCAGGCCTGGCAACCACTCGTCTACTTTCTATCTCCATGGATTTGCCTGTTTTGGACATTTCATTTAAGTAGATAATAAAATATGTATTGTTTTCTGTCTGGTTTCTTTCAGCATGAAGTTTTCTAGGCACATTCATGTTGTGGCATGTATCAGTACTGTACTCCTTTTTATAGCCAAATAATATTTCACTGTATGATATAAAACATTATGTTTATTCATCAGTTGATGAATATATGGGTTGTTTCCACTGTTTGGTTATTATGAATATGCATGGACAAGTGTTAAAGTGAACATATGTTTTCAATTCTGTTGGTCATATCTAGGAATGAATTACTGGGTCATATGGTAGCTGTTCAATTGTTTGAGGGGCTGCCCGACTGTTTCCACAGGGGCTGTGCCATCTTACGCTCCCATCAGCAGTGTATGAGAGCTCCACTTTCTCTATGTCCTTGCCAACATTTGTTATTGTCCTGGAATATCTTTTAATACTAAGTTTATTTTTTTCCATTATGAATAGAAATTAATCGATTATCAGGGCTTACAAAGAAAACTACCCCAGTGATGGTGGAATTCTGTGCCAAGACCAGAATCAACAAAGGCACTTCCCCAGGGAGAAAACAGAAATGCAATGGCCCCTCTGAGTACTTACCTGCTGCAGATCGGCGAGGGAATACAGGTGGATCTGTTGAAAGAGGTATTCTCTGGGGAAAATTCTGAAAACAAGGACAGAAATACACATGAACTGTGGTGCTGCCACAAAATGCACTTTTTCTGATAAGTTTCAAAGTCTCATTTAAGATCCCTCTTGTCTGCCTTCTCCCCTTTCCACCTATACTCCTCCTCACACCTTCTGAGAAATCTGTAGTGATCCTTTTTTCAGATATTTTTCTTCCTAACAGATAGCAAGATGGAAGTAAATGTTTGGTCTTGCATTTCTAACATAATCCGAGGTCCTGTGAGTACCATGTAGTGATCCAGGCCTGAGGGCCAGAGCACCAGGTTTCCTGTACCAGCTGTGTCCCTAACGAGCTGTGTCATCTCAGGCAAATCAAAAAACCTTCTTAGGCTTTTTTACTGTTGAGTGAAGTAGACTGAACTCCATTTATATATCTAAATATCTTTCCAGCTCCATTATTCTATGTCTGAATTAATAGATTTTGAAGTTGAGAAAATCATTGGAGTGGCAACCTGTGTGTCTTTTGTCTAGAGGCTCCTATGGGTTTCATTAGGAGGGACTATAGTGCTCAATATATCACATCAATGAACTATCCTCTTACATGTATAGTAATGATAAGTTTTAGAACCAGGTACAAATGGGAATAATGGGATAAAATAGTTCAAACTGGGACTCCCTGACGAAGTCCCATATCTTTGGCTGCTGTCAGTTCATAGCATCTGGATTAATGACAATGAGTGAACTTAAAAAAAAAACACACCAATAGGTTATGGATAAGGTACCAAAGTGTATATTGTTAGAAAACATCATCACCATCACCCCCTCTCCCCACACACATACATACATACACCTAAAACAAAATGCATGGTTCTAGCATTTTCTGTCTTATATGATACTATGCAATTTTCTTGTGTCCTAAATGAAAGAAACCACCACTTTACTCAACTAACATTTATGACTGTCCACTGTGTGCCAAGCGCTAGGAGACAGTTATGAATAAAACAATCGTAGTGTCTGAGTTCAGGAAACATAAAGTCAAATGATATGTACAACCCAAGGTCACGGACAATGGTGGGGAGAGGGACTGGGAAGGGGGAAGGGACAGGGTGGAGCAGGTCATTGGGGAGAAAAAGGGACATTTGTAATATTTTAAACAAAAATAAAATTTAAATAAATAAAGTCAAATGAGGGAAAGGTACCTAAACTGGTAACTATAATACAATGTGGTTATTGAAAAGAGAGTTATACAGGGGGCATTTTTTCTGGAATCGCCTAACATGATAGATCCTAACCCTGGCTATTAGAATCACTTGGGGAGCTTTTAGAAAATAACAGGGCATAAGCCTGCCACAAATCAATGTTAAACAAAACAAACTCCCCTGATATTAGTGCAACCAAAGTTTACAACCACTGACCTAATATCCATCCAGCTCACTGAGAAATTCACTATTCAGTCTTTCAATTAAGTGTGAATTACTTGACAAATCCTAGAGATTAAATCATTCACCCTCCCTTCACCCAGCTTCCCCTAATATTAATGTTTTACACAACCATGGTACATTGATCAAAACTAAAATAGGAACTGTGATGTAAATTACAGGCTTTGCCATGCCAGGCGTGGCTCAGCGGTTGAGCATCGACCTGGGATCCAGGCGATTGGGGTTCAATTCCTGGTCAGGGCACATGCCCGGGTTGCGGGCTCGATCAATGACTCTCTCATCATTGATGTTTCTATCTCTCTCTCCCTCTCCTTTCCTCTCTTTGAAATCAATAAAGATATATTTTTAAAAGAATAAATAAATAAATTAATTAATTACAGGCTTTATTCAGATATCACCGATTATTTCACCAAAGTCCTTTCCTGTTCAAAGATCCAATCCAGGATACAACATTGCATTCATAGATTTTTTTAAAAATACAGTAGCTCCCCCCACCCTTGTCCGTGGTTTGGCTTCCTACTATTTAAGTTCCCTGCTGTCTGAAAATGTTAAATGGAACATTACAGAAATCATTCATAAGGTTTAAATTGTGCACTGTTCTAGGCAGTATGGTGAAATCTCACACTGTCCTGCTCCGTCCCACCTGGGATGTAAATCATCCCTCTGTCCAGTGTATCCATGCTGCATATGCTAACTACCTTTTCGCAGCCGTCTTGGTTATCAGATCGACTGTGGCAGTATAGCGGTGCTTGTGTTCAAGTACCCTCATTTTATTATTATTATTGTTCTATTTTACTATTGGCTATTGTTGTTAATCTCTTATTATGCCTAACTTTTAAGTTAAACTATCATAGGTATGTATGTATGTATGTATGTATGTATTGGAAAAAACAGTATATAGGGTTCGGTACTATCTGTGGTTTCAGGCATCCACTTGGGGATCTTGGAACATATCCCCCATGAATAAGGGGGGACTATTGTATTTGCAAAAAGACTGGAGACCCAAACATATGTGCAAAAAAGGAAACATAGGGCACAGTCTTTCAGTGGGACTACAAGGATAGCAATGTACCATAATCTAATACAGGGACAGAGGATGTTTGAGCATGGTTGAATGGAAGGCGTATCTTTTTCAAAGGTGACTGCTTATTAATGAAATCCCTTAAATAAGGTAAAATGAAAACAAAATAAGGTAAAATGAAAACAACATGGCAGCAGGGCTGATAAATAGAGACAGAGTGAACCAAGTGAGTAGGATGGAAAATCATTTCAAAATTAACTTATGCCTCTTTCGTTGTTTGTACAAACGTGGGTCAGCTAAAGAGTTAGAGGAAGGAAGGCAATTGAAATGAACTGTAGCAGGGACAAATACAGGGCAGCATATCTATAATGTCTTGCTACTTAAAGTTCTTTTTGCTCCGAAACCCATGAATTCTATGGCAGAGTATACAGGATAGAAGAATTATTTATAAATTTACAAACAAAATCATCCTGGTATTCCCTTACTAGAGTACTACAGCCAGTTATCTCATCAACAAACACTTACTGAGTGCCAAAAATAAGCCAGGTGTTGTGCTAACTGCTGGCAGATATGTCAGTGAACACTTTGATGAGCAATAAAGACAATATTCAGTTTAACAAAAAGAAAATTATTAAGGTATAATTGACATATACCATTACATTATACAGGGTGGGGCAAGAGTAGGGTTACAGTTCATATGGAAAATAACACAATAGTTAATAAATAATAATACAAGAATGAACTCTGTGTTTCGAGTACTCACAACTGTAACCTTACTTTTACTCCACCCTTTGGTCGTAAGTTAATTTACCATATGGGTGTGGGTTTATTTCTGAGCTTTTCCTTACCAGCCTCGCTCCTTCTTGCTTCCAAACAGTTCACCTTCTTCTCACAATAACTAACCAGCTTTGGGCACAGTCATCTCTAATACCCTTTCAAATACTTTCTTTTGTACAGCTGAAGTTAGCTGTGCATTTATGTAGTGCTGCTATGAATGTAAATACATTTCACAAGTGTTTATTTTCCCTCTCCCTTTAGAAGAGATGCTAAGCCCCTCCGGCAGCACCTTATCTACTGTCTCCTCTCTATTACTCTTCGGAGTCTAACACTACAGTTGACATGAGGTCAGTCATAACAGACATAAAGAATTAGAAAGTGCAATATATGCAGACAAGATAAAGGAACTGAGCTTATTATGTCTGGAGAAGATGTTGTGTCCAGATTTAGCGGTGGCCATAAAAAAAGAGACTTTTAGTGCAGATAACGCCCATCAGCTCTTTTTCCCTGGAGGGCGGACGGCTATGGTAGCACAAAACCCTGAAGTCAAACATGAGAAGAGAGCTCCTGAGAGGGAAGCCTGAGAGGGTCACAGAGATGCTTTGTAACGTAAGTAAAATCAGAAAAAGACATTTTGCAGCTGTTTAGAGGTAGGCACACACTCCGGCTTATAGGAGGCTGGGTTCGGAAGCAGGGTAGGATGACTTGGGGCTTACTCCTGCTGGCCGTTCCTTCCTCGCTCCCATGCCTCGTCTTCTAGGCATTGAATTCGCAAGACATTCTCTGAATATCTCCCTTAGGCTGACCACCCACAGGGGATACACAGAGTAAATGACATAAAAGCCAAGCCCAGAAAAGCCTCGGCAACTTCCCACCTGGGGAACGCCAAGGGATTTTTCCCTGCTGTGGCTTAGAGGTACAAGTTGGCCCTTCTGACAGGAGCTCTTTAGAAAATGGATGCAACAAGCAGGGACTCCCAGGGGCCAGCTCCCCTTAACCTCTGAGCGGTGGGAGGGGTTGTGGAGAACCCGCAGGCCCAAGGCATGCTCAGGTAGCATTCAGCTCCTTAGGCAGATCTGACTAGGAGAGGACGAGTCTCTGCAGGAGATGCAGAGATAAATTTGTAGCCACTTCGGGGACTGCTTGGGGAGCTGTTCATGTGCGGGAGGCAAAGATCGGCATCCCCTTAGGAAAGTCAGCACGGCATTAATTTTTATTGTTAATGTTGTCAAGAAAGAATGGATGATTATTTGCACCGGTGGCAGAAAACATGATGTGTGATCATATCACCCGTGAATTTAATGCTAATAAAGTCCAGCCTTATGACCTCTGTGACTTGTCACTATGGTGAAAGCCTAAAATCAGGACCTAAAATCAGTATGTACGTATTTCGTTGCAGTAAGTAGATGCTGGGTACATGACATGTGACAAGCACTGTTCTTTTAATATCAGAGAATATGCAGACCCGTGGGGTAAATAGACCAGCAAGCAAACAGTCCCAGTTCACAGCGTGGAGCTGAGCTCTGCTGTCATGCCTGCAGGGGTGGGGGACGCCTGCAGAATACCTGGTCAGGAAAGGCCTCAGAGAACTGACAAGTCTCCACTTGTTCACACTAACTCAGAGAACAGAGTCAGTCTGAACCGGTGGAGGGATGGGCATTCCAGATAGAGGGAGTAGGTGGGTAAGAGCAGAGAGGCCAGAGGGAATATAATACTCTCAGAGAACCGCCATGTGTGAAGATGAAGGAGCTGTCCATGTGTCCATGTTGGGGTGGGGAAACTGCAGGGAATGGGCTTAGA